ATATATATCTGTGGGGATTCACAGTGTAAGTGCACACTTAGGTTTGAATGTAGGTGGTTCACAAGGAGTGCTGCAGACTTATGCCTTATGTTGGTCGCATCAAACGGGTTAAGTCTATTATTAGCTTGTAAATACGATGTGTCAGAACCGGATGTAGACACCTTGGTCAGAGTGTATAGTGGCGAGTTGTTTCACCTTCATCAGCCACTTTTCCCATAAGACAATAAGCGCCTACCGGTAGGCATTTATTGCCTTATGGGAAGGTGGTTGCTAAAGGTGAAATAACTCGCTATACACTATACACTCTGACCAAGGTCTCTGCATCCGGTCCTGACATTATCACAAGCCAACCAAAAGTATACGGATTGAAGATTTGCACAGGTCCTGCATTGCAGCTGCAATCATGTCTCTATTCCCTGTGCACACTATTGGATTGTTGTATCATGGGACTAGTAGTCCTCTTGCCTTTCCTGGAAACTGTTACCTGTGTAGTCTGTCTTAAACCATGCATGTTTGTTCGTCCGCCCAGATTTGAGGATTTAAATCCAGACAACATCCATTTATTTCTGCAAACTGCTCTCTGAAGCGTTTATCCTGCAGTCACCCTGTGCAACCTGGTCAGGTCATATTGCAGATTATCTGCTTGAAGGGGAATTGTTTGAGTCTGAAGATTTTGTGTATGTAACCATATCTGTCTGAAGATCCTGTCAAGTTTATTGAATTCCTAGTCTGTGTTAAGGGTGGCTTGCAAACTCCACCTCACTTCTTTTCAGGTCTTGCTGCTGCTTTTCAAGCTCTGAAGCACAGTTCCTCCTGCTCTGAGATCACATCCCAGACTTCTAAATCTACCACCCAACTAGACTCCAATGTGAGTGCATTGTGCCTGTTGCCCATATCAATGGCTCCTGTTCCAGTCAAGCCTACGCCTGTTGTAGTCCAGACTGCACCTATTCCAGTCTCTAGTGTTCCAGTCCAGCCTGCTCCAGTCTCTAGAGTTCCAGACTAGTCTTGCCTAGTTCTGTCCACACAAGCCTGTACCCTGATCTTGAATTGTAGTCCTGCCTTGATTTTGAAACCTTGTCTTGCCTTGGATATTTAACCCTGTACCTGTTGTATCTAGTTCTAGTTTTGTATTTGTTTCCTGTTCCTGTCTTGTATCTTATTTTCTGTTTTGTCTTGTACCTTGACATTAGTCAGTACTTCTCCTTGTTCCTGGGGGGCCACCTGTGAAACATCTATGGCCAGAGTGTATAGTTGAAGTCCTGGGGGCGTCTGAGTACCAGTAGGCATTTACTGCCTTATGGGAAAGGCAGCTGCTAAAGGTGAAACAACTCACAACTATACACTCTAACAAAGGTGTCTGCATCCGGTCCTGACACAATGCTATTGCACGCATTGTGACTACAACACTGTTGCAGGAGATCCTCAGTCTCCTCCATTTCTGCTACATTTACGCATGCTCCGAAATCTATATCAGGAAGCCATGAATGTCATAGCTATCTGTTTCATGTGACTATCCTGTATGTCATGTGGGGCAGCTCAAGGTTCCTAATTGACATAAAAACATTTCCACATTGTTTCTTTGTTTATGCTTACTGCACAGTCACAATGCTCATCTGGGCGCATAAAACACGTAAAACAGGGGAACAAAGAGGAAGTACTCTACTGTCAATCAAGATCACTGAGCCACCCTGCATGACAAGCAGGAGTGCCACATGGGGTGTTTCAGAAGACCGTGAAGACAAAGTACAAACATTTAAGCAATACATCTTTATATGTTTTGTTTTCTTATTAACATTTGGATTTTATTAATTGGTCACATGCATGCCAAAGCACCAATCGTCCCTGTGCGGACCAGAGGTCTGGCCAAAGGTAAGAAAGAAAGAACTTACTCCAGTGACATAGGCATGACATGGCACGTGTTTGAAACCTGCCCCACCCACATATTTCTCATTGATTATTGCTAAGCTGGCTAAAGATCACATGACCAACCAGCAATGGACATAAAAAGTATTTACAAGCATGATCATTCAGTGATATATACAATCCTTTTTATAAAAACAAACACTACTCATATATTGAAGCATGTTTCCTATGAGTTTACATTCACTTTGAGTTACAAAATGGTTTGTGTAGTGAATACATATGTTATCTAATAATTATGCATTTTTTCATCATATGGTCAGTTTGAATTGCCCAGGTTTGAGAGGTTTACATAACAGTAGTTCTCAAATTATATTTTCATCTACAGTGTACTGAGACCATAGTGTGACATCTGCAATGCAGTTAGGAGTCTAAACAAGAGAATAAAGCCAGCAGATTAAAAAAAAAAACTAAAATGTACCTTGGTCTTTCCATATCCCTTATTAACACAGACCATGATTTTAACACTGCACCCATCCTTAGGGTATGTTCCATCTCTAATGTCATCCAACAAAATATCTGCAGATACAGATGTTGTAAGAGTAAGATCATTAATTTCTATTATTTGACAAATATTGCATCACAATGAAATTGGCACTTATTGAATGGCCATCATAATACAAATAATAATGACAATATTAGTAACTTCCTACTAATCTTTTACTGAGATAGGATATGTGATAAAACATCCAGCTATACAAAAATGAAAAATATGTTTTCTTTTGTCCCATGTTGTTTGACACAATGGGGTTGATTTACTAAAGGCAAATATGCTGTTTAATTTGCAAGGGAATTTTCAATTTGCAGGAAAATTTTAATTTTGTTATTAGTGAATGTGGTTAAGCTATGCTGGGTTCTATCTTCTGATCATGAGCAAGCAAAATTTCTGTTTTTATTATTGTTCTTGCATGTGATTGGATATTCTTTGCAGCAAATCTTCACCGCATTCACTAAGATAAACGAAAGCGGCCTGAAAATTCTCGTGCAAAGCAAACTACCTATTTGCCTTTCGTAAATTGGCCCCACTGTATAAGCTGTCCCATTTGAGCACTGGTATTTCATGTAAATAGCCGAATTTAAACAACCCATAGAGAGATGATAGTTCTGTCACCATAATCTGAATGAGGTTTCATTTAGCAGGAATAAACAAAACATGCCCCATGTACAAAGAAGGTATACACTACATATATTCATGTCTGTCTGAAAAATACTACCTTTCTCAGATAATAATTCTCTCGAAATGTAACTTTAAGAAAAATACAGTCTTGAATACCTGTTGCTATGGTTTCTGTAATATTTAGATTATTTAAAGAAAGGCCTAGTGATTGACGTGAAGAGGATGAGGTGCAACTTGATGATTCAGAGGAAGGTCGGTTTATTTTTCCTGGCGTGCTGGTTTCACCTTTTAGCCTGTCATTCTCAGCTTTCAGTATTTCAATTTCATTCTAAAATTCAAACATATAGTATTGTTAAAACATAATAACCCATGGTTAAATGCTAAAAAAATAGATCCAAGTAGAAATGGAATGCAAGCTGGTAAAATACCCACTTATACAGTTTTTAGTAATCACTATGCCTAAGCTGTCTTTCAGACTTTAAAAGGAATCTGTGTACATGCTAAAAAACTGTCTGATAGAGGCTGCCATTGTCTGACTTACAAGCTCCATAATTTCAGGGCAATGAGTCCTGTTCAGCATCTCAGTGATTGAGGTGACTGTCTTGGGTTTAGTATGCAGCTTGTAAAGCTGTCCATACACCTTGTGATTATTGTTTTATTTTTTTCGTGCCCTAATCGAACTATAGTTCGTCTTCTGCTCGAATACTCCATCATACACAGACCAATGTCGATTTTGACTATCATTCATTAGCAATACTGACCGAATTTCATCAATCGACAGAAAGGATTTTTGTTTGCGCATGTGCAGTGTTCATGTTGCCATTTTTTTTCATATGAAAATGCCACTAATCCATCGATTTTCGTATCATTAGAAGAAGTTTCCAAGCCTGACCGATCGAGGAAATTTTGCCAGTTGTACAGTAATTGTGATTGTTCGCTTCCCATCAACTGGCTGATTATTGTTCGAAAACACGTTCGTATTTGATTTATGAACGTTAATCGCAATGGGCACCTTTAGGCAGACAATGGCAGCGTCTAGCAAATAGGTATTTAGTTAAATGAAAGGTCAGCTTTGTCAAATGGAAACAAGATAGCACCTATATGATTTTTAGTGCACTATTCACTCACAGAGTAACAGCTGCTGCATTAAGCTTTTGACAGACTTACTTTATTTGTGCTGAAATAAGAACTGACTCTCCTATCAAATACACATTTAGAGGTGCTTTTTTGCAGCAAAAAGAGTTTTGTAGGTTTTGCAAATCCATGAGGAGAGGTAAAGTTTATGGCCAATCAAACAGAAGCCTAGATTGGTCTTAAAAGCTTGCTCTTCCCACGCCCCATACTAAGATGTAGTACCATTTCTGTAAGCTAATAATTATCTCATGCCAGCATTATAGGTGTAAACATGCCAAAGGCAGACCCTGCTTAGGAGTATGTACATTTTAATACATGAACATTCCAGTCAGCACTTTATTTGACTGGGTTTGACATCTCAGATGGGTAGTTTGAAAAACCAAGAGGATGGTCATGAACAGTATCTAGTCCTTTACACTGGCAATCTTCTTTGTGAGCAACTTCCAGCACCTTTAATTTTTCCAAAAATCTTGACTTTATGTTTAACTGAGTAATAAAATACTGCTACAGGGAAAATGGACCAAATATTTCACAAAATCTGTGCTAAAGCATCTCTTTTTTTTCTAACAACAAATTCTATCATTATTTTACAAACAATGAAAATACAGCAAGTAGCCAGCTTTCTCAGAAGTCAGCCACAGTTGTGTAAAGCAGCCAAGCAGCCAAGAGTCCCCTCCCATGGAAGAGAAATACATGAACGGTAAGCACATGCAAACCCAATGTATACTGTTAGCGGATTATTCCACAAGATAGTTCTTATCAGTACCTCTTAACAGTACCAGCATATTTAGAATTTCAAGAATGAGAAAACAAGGTATCAATGTACAACAGTCTATAAATTATAACATTTAAAATGCAAAGGATCATTGACCTGCATGCGGTTCATTGCTTCTCTGATTTGGTCAAGGTGATGTGCAGAGCTAAGAGCCTCCAGGCGGATGTCTGTCAGCTTCAACTCTTTTTCTCGAAGTTCACCCTTTAGCTGCAGGATTATTTCAGCTTCTGCTTCAGTGCATTCACAGAGCCTTTTGAAGGGAAAGAATCAAGTTTTAGGAGAAATTTATATGGAGTAGTATTTCATTTTGTAAATGAACAAAGGTTTTTTTTGGGGTTTTTTTACAAAAAAATATTAAATATTCATATGCCCCAGAAAAAAAACTGCAGAAAGTATTCATTCCATCTTCTTGCCCAAGATAGGATAAGTTAACTCATTTTTCAAAAAAATTCATAGAGAATTTTCCAACCATCTGACTGTTCTTCCCTGAGGTCCTTATAGGAAACCAAAGTGTGGTGAGCACTGAAAGGACACTATTAAAAGCACATAAGTTACATGTGAAGCAAGATTACAGGGCAGATTAGAGGCATATTAAGACCAAATGGGTCCTTAGGTATAGTGATAGCTTTGCTCATCCCATCCCTTACCCCCCACATTTCGATGAGCAATTTCAACGAATATTCACTGCATTTATTAAGCCCATGACATGATTTTAAAACCTTTGCAATATGTTTATATTTAATGTACAAGTTGACCAACGGGAGTCGGACGTTTTTAGAACAGGTAGTACACGGTAAGTGGTGATGGGAGGGGGGCGAGCTAGGTGCCCCCCCCCACTGGCATGCTAATTCAGTCACAACGAAGCAATAGTCATTACAACACCGTTTGTTTGCTTACAACAGCTTTGTGGTGAGTCTATCACAGCAACGCAGCAGCTATTTAGCTGAGAATTCAATTTTGAAATCAATGTTGGTTGATATGGAGCCTTTCCCAGTCGCAATACGGTCCTCTGGTTTGTTGAACATTTCAGAACAACCGGAAACATTATGAGCAAGAAGCCACCAGGCCCCGCCCACACTGCAAGGACGCTGCAAAACATTGTACGTGTGAGAGAGGCACTGGTTAGGAGCCCGGGGCGATCTACTCGAAGACATGTAAGGCTGGGTTCACACCTAGGTGTATCGAATATGCGTGTTTGTCGCGCGATTCGCGGTAAAAAACCGAGGGCTACTTGGCTGTATCCCAATGGAAACGCGCAACAAAAACGCCCCAAAGAAGCTCCTGTACTTCTTTGGGCGTAGGATGTTTTGTAGCGCGTTCATATGGCCTGTAATACGCCCAGGTGTGAGCCATAACCATAGGAAATAATGGGATTTCGGTGTTTGAGCGTTTTGCAGAGCGTAGGAACGCACTACAAAATGGCCAGGTGTGAACCGGGCCTAAATGTGTGTTAGGGTTGAGTTGTGAATCAGTGAGAACCAAGATCACGTGCAATTTTTTACAAAAAAATATTAAATATTCATATGCCCCAGAAAAAAAACTGCAGAAAGTATTCATTCCATCTTCTTGCCCAAGATAGGATAAGTTAACTCATTTTTCAAAAAAATTCATAGAGAATTTTCCAACCATCTGACTGTTCTTCCCTGAGGTCCTTATAGGAAACCAAAGTGTGGTGAGCACTGAAAGGACACTATTAAAAGCACATAAGTTACATGTGAAGCAAGATTACAGGGCAGATTAGAGGCATATTAAGACCAAATGGGTCCTTAGGTATAGTGATAGCTTTGCTCATCCCATCCCTTACCCCCCACATTTCGATGAGCAATTTCAACGAATATTCACTGCATTTATTAAGCCCATGACATGATTTTAAAACCTTTGCAATATGTTTATATTTAATGTACAAGTTGACCAACGGGAGTCGGACGTTTTTAGAACAGGTAGTACACGGTAAGTGGTGATGGGAGGGGGGCGAGCTAGGTGCCCCCCCCCACTGGCATGCTAATTCAGTCACAACGAAGCAATAGTCATTACAACACCGTTTGTTTGCTTACAACAGCTTTGTGGTGAGTCTATCACAGCAACGCAGCAGCTATTTAGCTGAGAATTCAATTTTGAAATCAATGTTGGTTGATATGGAGCCTTTCCCAGTCGCAATACGGTCCTCTGGTTTGTTGAACATTTCAGAACAACCGGAAACATTATGAGCAAGAAGCCACCAGGCCCCGCCCACACTGCAAGGACGCTGCAAAACATTGTACGTGTGAGAGAGGCACTGGTTAGGAGCCCGGGGCGATCTACTCGAAGACATGTAAGGCTGGGTTCACACCTAGGTGTATCGAATATGCGTGTTTGTCGCGCGATTCGCGGTAAAAAACCGAGGGCTACTTGGCTGTATCCCAATGGAAACGCGCAACAAAAACGCCCCAAAGAAGCTCCTGTACTTCTTTGGGCGTAGGATGTTTTGTAGCGCGTTCATATGGCCTGTAATACGCCCAGGTGTGAGCCATAACCATAGGAAATAATGGGATTTCGGTGTTTGAGCGTTTTGCAGAGCGTAGGAACGCACTACAAAATGGCCAGGTGTGAACCGGGCCTAAATGTGTGTTAGGGTTGAGTTGTGAATCAGTGAGAACCAAGATCACGTGCATTCGTACAGCAAAGTCTTTTTGTTGCTCATAATCGCTCACATTGAGCTGTTGAACAACCTGCATTTTGTATGGATGGAATCTTAAATCTCTCTGTAAAGGGGTTTTCACTAATTCACGATTCAACCCTAACTCACTTGCATGTCTTCGAGCAGACAGCCCCGGGCTACTAACCAGTGCCTCTCTCACCCTTGCAACATTTTCCGGCGTCCTTGCAGTGCGGTTGGAGGCCTGGTGGTTTCTTGTTCCTTATGTTTCAGGTTGTTCTGAAATGTTCAACCCACCTGAGGAACATGTTGTGACTGGGAATGGCTCTGTGTCGACCAACATTGAATTCTTTTCAAAATAGCCGCTGCTTTGCTGTGAGAGACTCACCACTTCGAACAAAGCTGTCAAAAGCAAACAATGTTGTAATGTCCACTGCTTCATTGTGACTGAATTGGCATTCCAATTCAGTCACAATGACACCTGGGGGGGAAGACACCTATCTCGTCCCCCTCCCATCACCACTTGTGTACTACCTGTTCTAAAAACGTCCGACTCCCGTCGGTCACCCTGTATTATAATATTTGGGTTTCTTTATATTTCAACATGCCTTTTTGATTTTTTTCCTAGGAGGTTTATTTGTATTTAATTAAGGATGTCAGCCTTAAAGGGTCAACATCGTCCATTTTCATTGCCGTGGTCTTCCCCATTAGACACCAACTGCCTGCAAACGTATTCTCATTCCTAAACTGCAGGTGGGGTCGTGAATCAACTGCAGGGGCCCTAGGCTCCTATCTAGGTTGTCCTTTGGATGATGTGACTCTAGGGCAAGCTAAAAAAGTACAAATTACCTCATGATCAACTCCTCGTGGAGGGTGGCAAGTTAATTAAGCACTTCATGATAACTTGTCAGTCACTAGTTAAAGATTGGTTTTAACTGGATTACTGCATAGCAAGAATCACTAACACTACCATAATCACACACAGCAGAAACATCTATAGTGTCAACAATCTGTTGATTTCAAGCAACCCTGATATGTGTATATAAGATATATTGTTATTTTAAACCTGTGAGCAGTTAAAGAATTAATAAGTAAACCAGACTCATTTGATAACCAAACTACTTACTAAATCTAAACTTTCTATGAATGCAAATGTGACATGTTTATTAAAAAAAATATTTAAACAAATGCTGAAAAGAGTAGTTGAGTGCCATTACCTTAATCAAACACTACTAATCTGTCTTAATTAGTCTGACAACAGTAGGCTACTGAAAGCTACTTGACATTTGATTGGTTGTTACTGGCAACAGGACATCATTGCTTATTACTCTTCTTTTTCTAAATCCCCTTTGTATTATATTACATAATTGTGTCTGCGAAATGGGTACTCAAATAAAGCACTTCTAATTACACTTGAGTTTTGCTGAAACAAAGATTTTCCTGTTTCTGCTCTGTAGATACTGTGGATATCATGTGTGAACATTTACTCAGATCTATCCATAACAGTGGTAAGTGGAAGTGTCTTCTTTGTTGCAATCATGTAATTAGTCTTATTATTGCGGTAAGGCAACTGCACCCCGGTATCCCTCTAGCTCCTGCAAGTATCTCATTAAAGATTAAACACTTTAGCACTGTAAACCTAAACACATTAAAGGGGATCTATGAATATGTATTTCAACCTCAAATCAAGTCCAGATCTGTGAGCCAATTGAAGAAAAGGGTGGATAAGGATTCTAGGAAATCTGGCCCAGAAGAATGTTGGTTGCTAAGAACACTACCTTGATATCTGTTGAATTGCAAGAAGAGATTTCACACTTTAGAAAAAAATGCCAATATGCATAGGACAGACTGGCTCAAGAAGCTACTTAACAGATCCAGGATGCTTAATAGGCTAGAAAAGAGACTCATGGTTCACAAATCTCTAATGCAGAGTACAACTCTGATCTCAAGTACAAGTGTGAGCGGTTCAATACCTTAGCACAGTTCATACACAGGCCGACATTGATTGCAGACCGTATAGTCTTCTTCAATCAAGCCATCACATTTCCATAATATTCCTATGTGACAAGGTGAGTGGGGAGTAGACCTTTTGAGGGAAACTCTGTCTACCCGTTTCGCCCCTCCCACCTTGTGGCTTCATCAGGACTCCCTACTCAGCTTGTTGCATAGGAATATTATGGAAATGTGATAGCTTGACTGAAGGAGAGTATACTGTACCGTAATGAAGGTCTGAGCAGTTCTGTGGAAGATCTCATATCTGTTTAGTGGCGACACAGGAATTAATCTATTATCTGACGTTCACATCAGACTATGTCTGAAGACCAGCTTTTTCTTTTTTTTTTCTTTATTCTGACACGGAGCAATGTCAGAATAGAAAAAAAAAAAAATTTCCCATTGGAATGCATTGCTAGATTCCTATTGGCTATTTCAATTTGCAATAGCCAATAGTAAACTAGCATTGTACCCGCCCTCTGCTGATGGAGAACTGTAGCAGTGGACGGGTGCAATGCTAGTTTACTATTGGCTATTGCAAATTGAAATAGCCAATAGGAATGTAGCAATGCATTCCAATGGGAATTTTTTTTTTCTATTCTGACATCGCTCCGTGTCAGAATAAAGAAAAATAAAAGAAACAGCAGTGTTTCTCACCTTGGTGGCCGGGAGCAGGAGACTCCCGGGGCACCAGTGAGAGTTTGCTGTTTGGAGATCAGTGTCCCTGGTTAGCAGGTAACCAGGGATGCTGATCTCTCTACAAGTGGCCGGAGCCAGCCGTAAGATCACGGCCTGCTCCGCCCAGCTGTCAGAAGCAGGCTGTCGGGCGGCCAAAGGCCAGCCGCACAGCCAGCATCGGCTTTCAGCGCGGCTGAAATTAAATATGGATCTTCAAAAGGCCTCCTGTGTCAGTATGTGATTTTACTTCAGTAGAAACCGGGTGCTTGTAAACATGTGAATGTTACAATCTTGCATCCACTTATTCAGCTGCTTCAGTTTGAGAAAAAGGAGAAAGAGATCGTTTGCACTATGATTATTATGACAGTGGTACAATGCGGTTATTTATTGGATTCAGCCATTATGTGATCTCTTCTGGTATTGGAGTCATTGTTCAATTGCTTGATTTTTTTGTGAACTATTTAAGACAGGTGGAGAGACGTTGAGCATGATTTGGATGTGTGAATGATGGTTGCCATCACTGTCTGGCAGCTTAATTCAAGTGCATTAGGCCTAATTCACAAAGTTAACACAACAGGATAGGGATCTTTCAATTTACAAAAAAAAGTGATATTTTCAGTTGAATGCAATGGAATTTTAAAATCACTATCACATGGCTAAAATAAAAAAATAAAAACTTTCTCCTACTGCTCATCTGCAGACTGCTAATTTGGACATAATTGGGTGTGATTTAAAAAAAACATTATCAACACTTTTTTGGTGCTATTTTTCCTGCACCCAATAATCAAAGCCTTGCGACAGTTTCATTGAGAGTTCTAAAACATGTGACAAATTCAGGTAGTTCTTAATTGTGCCACTAATGCAATGTGCCAATATGACAGTGACAAATTCAAAAAGAATTACCGTCAGTTCAGAGATAATGAAACTAGAGGTAATTAAGAACAACTCCAAGTTGGCATAAGTAGACAGGCACGCAAACATGCCATGCCCTTTACTGCGCAGTGGGACTGCTGTGTAGTAAAGGGCAGGGAATGTTTGCACTGGAAAGCTCTTATTAATGTGACAACTTCCCACTTAGTGCTCATTGGTTGCTAGGGCACTAGTGACCACCGGCATCCTAGCAACTTATGATGCATTCCGGGACCCATTTAGCTGCCAGCCAGGATATTCCCTGGATGGCAGCTGAATTTAAACAATGGACTGCGAATGCTGGCTGACATCTATGGCATTTTTTATGAATTCCTAGAAAACCTACAAGATTGAAAAAATTAACATTATTCCTGTTTAATCCCTTATTAACCCATATTTAGCCTTTACCTTTACCTCCTTCTCTTTTTAGCTATATTTTACCATTTATGTGTAAACTTTTTTTTTTGTCTTACATACATTTGGTTTGTTTTTGTATTGTCAAAAATAAAATATACAAAAGTGACATAAATGTATTTCATTTGCAAATAGCTTTGCTATGCATTTATACATCATTTTAGCATCATTTTAGCATCATCATACATGGGACAAATAACATATAACATAATAAAATTTGCACTTGTGCAAGAGGAGGCTTAGAAATTATAAGCTACACATGGTAAATATGCTCAAATGCTCTTTTCTATAAAACTTTTTCATAACCAGGGGTCAATGAGAACCAGATCCCTAGACTAAATTTAGTAGCATCAGCTTTTATATTTATTTTTTCACACTGTTAAGGTGCCCATACACCTTACAATTATCTGCAGATTTTCTGTGGTAAGAAGGAAAAAGTGCAACAGATTGGCCTAGGTGGAGACTACTCCATCCACACAGTTAAGTGTAGATGGAGGAATCTGTTGCACCTTTTCCATCTGACCACAGACAATCTGCACATAATTGTAAGGTGTATGGCCAGCTTTATGCATAGTAAAAGCTGCAGCTGTAATCAAACCTCATATGATCACCATGATTGGCTGTCATTGGGATTGGGAACCACACTAATTGTTTCCTTAATGCTAACCTGAGGGTGTTCACCATGCCTAATATGAAAAACCCACTTTAGGTAAACTAGACCCACTGAAAAACTCTCCCCCAGTTTTCCGTGAACCATAAGGAAGCTTTCATATTTCTATTCTCAAAGATTCACTTTAACAAAAAAAGGATAGGGAGACGTTAAATAGCTGAAGAAAAAAACAAATAAATGTTATCATATGAATCATATGCATTAACATAGCACCAATATGTTCCAGAGCATTGTACAAACAGACTATATAGAGCCTTTGACAACAACATTGTAACATACACAAAAAAGTAATATGCTAGGAAAGATAGTTCTGGTAAAAAAACGTGACAATCCAAAAGGTGAGGAGAAATAAAAAGCAAGGGAGATGTGGAAGCAGTAAGCGTCTTTTAGATTAATGGCACAGTGCTAGGAGAAATCAGGAAATACCAGACGGTGACAGACAGATGTTGTGAATTAGGTGTTTTTAAAAATAATGCACTGTGAAAACTATTGTGCACCACAATAAACACACAAGTGACATTCACATTTCAACTTCCATGTGAATATGTGCCATATAGGAAAAAATAGGTTTTCTCTTTCAGCAGGTGGAGCACTGAGCCGCTTGGCGTTTTTTTAGCCCACATTAGCTCTGCCTCAGAAGCCCTATGATTTCAGCAGGTTTCAGAGCTGTAGCTGGCATTCCAACTACAAAGACCGCACAAGGTCCAAGGGTCCAAGTATCCTTAGAGTTGCTTTTTAAACTGTGCAAAAAGTTGACTAGATGGGGCCACATGCGGTGGTGGAACCCAACCAAACCTCCTACAGGAAGCAATGCAGATTTAGGTTTTCGATACTGAAAGCACCAGGACATTAAGGGTGCTATCTTAAATTACATTTTGGGGAATCTAAAATCTTACATTAGTGCAGAACAGATTGCAAAACATGAGACAAGACTCATGGTATCCTCAATTGCTTAAATTAGCAATAAACAAAAAAAAAATAGATTATCATTTACCAAACAATTAGAACAAAAATAGATGAATGGCAAATATTTACTTACAAGCTCAAGAAAAATAGAACAGTGTGATATTAATTTAAAAAATGGAAAAAAATGTAGGTAAAAATGTAAAAGTTTGATCCTCCTACATTTGAAACATTTTGTAATTTAAAATAGCAAACAGAATTATAACCAATGACTATGCAATAATAATCTGGCAAAATATTACTTAAAGAAGATCCAAATGTGAAACATAATACAACTGCATATAATTATATTTCTTTTCTGTCTTTCAGTTTACAGTCAGTAGGTCAGAGTCTCTTTTAGTGCATCATTTCATGCAATCTTCTTATTCTGGCACACCATTTCAATAACATGCACCACACTACAGTTTACCGAGATCTATGCTTGTAGGTCACCCGGCCATTTTGCCGTTTCTTTGGTACCCAGTCTAAAGAGGACCTGAATTCACACAATAGACAGACATATGTATTTACAATGATTAAAAAAAAATGATTGCTAACAAAATGTGAGTTTAAAAAAACATGCAGTGGAATATAATATGTATATGTATAGCAGTGCACTAATGAGGATGAATGACATGTTTTGTGAAGTACTCCATTCTGCAAGAGGGATCAGTTGTTGAATGCATAGCTTTTAAGTATACATGTACTTTAAATTGTGTGTTCTTCTAAAACTCTGCTTAAGTAAACAAAAACATTGCTGCAACTTCTCTTCTGTTTTATGGTAAAGTGTCTCTGTCAAGGGAGCTGTCATTTCTAGCCTCCTTTTTTAAGTGTCAGAAAAGTGTCAACATTTCTTATCTCTATTTATGTTCCAAGTTGGCGGCTCAGACAGCATTGAAGGCAAAGCATCACCATTATGACAACAGAATTAGCATTCTCAAAAGAAGAGTTCATCAATCCACACTTCCATGATTCTCTTATGACAGAGTCCCTTAAATACACATTTTGTGCATGGAAGATACACATTTTAGGGCATGTTCACACCAAAAAAGTGTGTTCCAAAGCGATCAGCTGCTGGAACACACTGTATCGCATCCCAGCTGGCTTCCTGTGTTCAGGTGCAAGAGGGGGCGTGGTTGTGCATTAAAGTCACGCCCCGCCCCCCCCGCCCGCAGTGCGATTGCCTGCCCCAGAATGCATGGCACATCAGTGCCTGCGTTCAAGTCCAGTGTGATCTAAATAAATTAGTGTTTGCAGCATTTTTTTTTTACATCACACTGGACCAGAATGCAGGCACTGATGTGCCATGCGTTCTGGTGCAGGCGATCGCACTGTGGGCAGGGGGGGGCATGACTGCAGTGCTATTAACTTCAATGGATTGCCACACCCCCTCTAGCCTCTTAACTCAGGAAGTCGGCCGGGGATGCGATACAGTACGTTCCAGCAGCTAACCGCTCTGGAACGCACTGTTTATGGTGTGAACAAGCCTTTAGGGCTTACTTAGTAAGGTAGTCTAAAAAGCAATGGCATGCATTGTGCAAGAAACCCTACCGAACTTACAAATTACTCACTTAAGCTCATAGATCAATTCTGACCAATGGGTTATTGCACCTGGCCATATTATTGCTCTTTGCACTCTATTATTGTATTAGCCTAATAATGTTTATGCAAAGCAATAATAAGCACTTTAATCACTAAAAAAGTTGAGGTGCTGTCTTTAGGAACCAGATTCCAGCTGTCATTTTTTAGTTTGTTACAAAATGAAAGCAAGCATCTGGCTCATTTGTTTCTTCCAGGTTTTCAATCACCAATGCAATTTCCTATTAAACACACATAATGTTTGCATATGGTATGACAGTTGTTGCTGTCATACAGGCACTTACTCGGAGTTGGACTGTGACTGTTTCATGGCAAAGGAACTTGAATCCTCTGATGTATGCTGAAGTTTTGGGGAGGAAGGGACAGATGAATCTGTAAGTTCCTCAATATCTGAGTGGGAAGATGGATGTTTGTTGGATTTTTTCTTGCCAAAGGCTTGTTTAAATGAACTTCTCAGCTACAAGAGAGAAGGTGAACAATTAAAGCATTTAACAAAGTAAAATTAACCACAGTGCTTTTGTTATGATATTTGAATGATATAACAAATCTGTATTTTCATTATGTTCTGTATCTATATAACAGTTAACAGAAAACATAATAACATTCACATCAATCCCTGCTCCAGAGGAGGTTACAGTGTAATGTTTCTACTAACCATTAGCCAGTTTGTCCAGCAGCCAATTACTCTACCAGTCTTTTTTTTGAACTTTTTATACTAGTGTTGTTTAATACAATATTTTAAGCAAATAGGTACTAAGAGCACTGAATAAAAATTTTCACCTGAACTGAGATTTGATCCAGATCAGGCATATTTATTGACACCTGAAGATTTAAATGTGTCTCCTTATGAAACAATTACCTAACCATCCCCCATTAAGTAAACCAGTAAAGGGGTTCTGTGTAGTCCTTATTTTTTTATTTAGCATACTTTTGACCAGAAAGTAAAAAAAATGGTGGCTTAATTTGGGCAACTATGGGCCAAGCTTCATCAAGCTTTAACATACATGTGTCATTAATTAAAACAACAAAGTAATTCATACATCTTTTTTTTGGGGTGGGGCAAACTAGGCTTTTATTGGCAATATTGTCCAGGAAACATTATTTTGTTTTCTATATAATCTATAGACAAAACACATAAAAAACAAGGTTTTTTAACCAGTGTTAGTTTAAAAAAATATATTTTTAAGCTATCTCAAATGTTGATTAAATCACTTACAATAGATGCGGCTTCTGATGTTTAGACGTTTTAGTTTCCTGCAAAATCGGCTGGTGCTCTGGCCTTGATATCCTGTTTTAGGCTGGCTCTTTTCTATTGCAGGGTCCTATGAAACCCCCTTTGTGTGTGTTAGTAAGTTGTGTGTGTCTCCAGAACTACTCTCTGCTCCCTACCTCTCCCCTAGAACACACCTATTCTTACGAGCTAGGTTGCCAGGTCTTTCCTCGAGCCCCATTTACACGAGCCTGGAAGCAGTATGCAAAATGTGACAGCCAGTTTATAAACACATACTAGGGTCAATTTAGTTATGAGCAAATTAACCTACCAGCATGTCTTTGGAATGTGGAAGAGGAGTATCAGGTGGAAATCCACATGAACACAGGGAGAACATGCAAACCCCATGCGGTCCTGGCTAATATTAGTACCAAGGACCACAGTGCCGCAAGACAAGTGTTAACCACTAACCTGCTGTGTCACCTCCAAATAGGGATACATTTTTTTCATTTTTTTTTACTTGTAAGGCTTCTTTAATTTCTTTGTTGTATGCAGATATGTAGGTCACACATTGTATTTACATATGAAATACTAAATGCAATGTCACAGTGGAGTAACTAACAATATGCCTCCATTCAAACCTGCCGTGCTTTGTGCATACCCTGAGCAAGGACATGGATATTAATGGAATGTCCAACAAATGGAAAAGATGGGAAATGAGCAGACTGGACCTTATTCTCTATAGAACCCCTCTTCCGCTCAATGCATTTACCAGAATGTGAAAGCTGGAAAGAGCGCCACGTGAGTTAGCTCCTTAATGACCCTGGACAGGCTAACAGATAAGATAGATTAATGCTGCACATGGATATACCTTTTTTTTTTACTTGATTGACGAGCTTCTCAATTTTTTTACATCACTTAACTATGAATCTAACTAAAATAACATTTTTTACTGGCACATACTAATTATTAGCAACATCAAAGATCTTTAAACATTTTAGATTACTATTCTTCCTGTAAATATACACAATGCAGCCAGGAGCATAACAGAAGTAACAGTTTTAAGGAAAGGGGATCTGAAACATAAAGCCATGCACAAGAGATTTCTGGTATATGGACAATCACCGTGTAAAAGTGAAGAAGTATCAACGGCCAAAGAGACACTTGGCTTCCCTAAATCTATCAAAAATTAATTGAAATACCATGTTGGGAGATATATGACCAATTGACATAATATACAGAGAAATGTACTGTTACTATTTACCATTATTTTATGTAGATTGCTTACTTCCTAGAACAACAAAATAACTTACTATTCCTAAAGTAAGCTCCAATAAAACAGAATTTTGGTTGATTTAGTTCATACTCTGATTTATTAATAGTGGCCACTAATAGTGACACACACAGTCTCCCAACAAATGCAACCTCAAGCTTCATTTGTGTTTTCTGACACCCTATCATTATTTAGACAATATTCTAAAGCAGATTTAAAATAAAAAATAAACTAGAGGTATATACCTGCTTACACCTGTGTTTGGCTCATGAGTAATTGGTTAGACATTACTCTGACTGTGGTTAGGTTCTTGTATAATAATTCTAGGCAACCTCCCTCTAAATTCTCTTCACTGCCTACAGAGGACACTTCAGTGATTTTAGCATCATTTAAGAAAAAAGGTGTACATAATCACAGAACTGTTCTTAAATACATATCAACCCCACACTTTAAATGCACTTTCTATTGAACCTGGAGTATTAAGGAGCACACTAGGCTATTTCTTTCCTAGCTCTAACAATGAGGCTTGCAGACTGGAGGTTTCATGCCTAACTCTTCCTCTAGCCAATACTTGCTATGAGTGTGTAATGCATCTGTGTGCTAAAAATAAGATTTTATACTACATGCAATGCACGATTATTATTGCTATTAGAAAAATTATGCAGGAAAAGACAGGTACTGAAGCATTGCCAAAGCTAAGGCGTCCATGTCAGGCAGGTTGGGTATAGAACAGCATGCCAAGGCAGTGAAGATTTTATATTCACCTCACTTTTACTGAAGTTCACCTTGTGATAAGTAGAAATAGAATGGGATAACATGAAGTTAGTACCTGGTAACAGTGTCTATAGAACCTAGATTTTCATACTTTATACATGCAGCATAACTTTTTCTGTCACTAAATAATGGAAAAAGTTGTTCTGGCTGCAATGTCAGAGCACATTTTAATACATTCCAAAGATGTGAATCTAAGACTCATAAACTAAGCTGGTAAATCTAGCAAAAGTGCCGAAATGAATAAATATTTTGAGTTCTTAGGATCCTTAAAACAAGCGGTGATGGCAAGCAAAAATACTTCTAATGTGTGTTTGCAAGCCTGAATATACCTTTGCTCTAGATTAATACATACATATAAAGCAATAGCAATGAAACACCTTATGAAGAGCAGTTATTTGAATTTTCTTCCACTACTAAACCACTAAAACTGGTATAAAAGGGTAGTTTACACAGCATAGTTGTTTAAGTGGACATTACAGTTAAATGAAAAGTCCACCTATAATGTCCAGGCCTCCTCCCTTTGTAGGCCTAAATCAACTGCAAATACTATTTGCAAAATGTACCTGTAAAGAAAAAAAAAGGTAGGATACATCTAAATGAGGGTGATGTTACTGGATAATGGACTGGGGTATCTTCTAGCCAGATTTGGCCACCTCCAAATTCCCCAGGAGTCTTCCCAGAGATGGTGATGTGATGTCCAGTATTGCAAAATATGGAAGGTAAGTATTAAAAGAGAACTATGGCCCAACCTTTTTTTGCCATAGTTCTCTTTCGGGTCACTGGAGGACATTTACTATGTCATACTGTGACCCAAAACTCAGCATATAGCGGGCTACTGCCCACTATATGCTGACAGCGCCGAGCCACACTGTGGACGGGTAAGATACTGACAATATAGTCTGGATCCACCTCGCTGCCTGATTGACAGCTAGCTCTGCCTCATTAGAGGATAATGCCCGTCCCATCCGTCTCTCCAGTCAGCACTGGAGGAAAGGTGAGGGGAGGGGGAATCCCTGCAGGGAGCGGTGACCGACAGTCACCACTCTCTGGAGGGAGAAGATTGGGAACTGAGCGATCAGCAGAATGAGATCGCTCAGTTCTAGAGCTATAGAGCTGATGTGTGACCGCTGCAATGTCATATGTCAGCTCTAATGGGGATGAGTGTATTTCACTCGCTCCATAATTCTTCTTTAAAGCTAACTTTTTTCTTTACAGGTGCATTTTTCAAATACCTTCTGCCGGCAATCTGGACAGAAGAAGAGGCCTGGATATTATAACTGGACCTTGCATTGCACTGTAAGGTCTGCTTTAAGTCTAAAAAGTGCACACAGCATAAATACAGGATTCAAAGGTACATCCAAAAAAAAAAAAAAAGAATTGGACTTGAAAAGCTTGCACTTTTCAGAGAAAGTAAAGACTGTCCAGGACTACATTTCCTTGGGGCTAGCTACAGGGTACTAGCTAACCCAACTGCTTTTTGTCAGTATGAAGTGCTCCTGGAGCACCAATTTCTATGCCATGTGGATATGTAGGCAATTGATTCCCAATCTAAAATATTGATGCTTTATAGCATTAGCTATCCTAGGACTAAATCACTATTTGACTAAAACTAGGGATGCACAGATACCAAGGACCGTACTTATACTTTCCCACCTACTAAACTAGGGAAAAATTAAAAAGTTATGATGCAGCTGTCAATTTTAAGGAGCATTGGCTACAGGGGTCCTGGGATTTGTGCATTCCAGTTTTAATGTATGATTTGTTTTATATATAAGGGATGCACTGATACCATTTTTCCAGGCCAAGTACAAGTACGAAAACTTGTCCTCAAGGATACCAATTACTGATAAATTTTTGTTTAGTGTCATGTGACAGTTTTTCTAAAACAATACAGACTAATGATTTCAGGATAGTGGTGGAGCGCCAAGGCCCAGTCCCAGCTGCAACTGCTGCAACCCTGGTAGTTCTCATGAAGATGCCAAGTATTGGTACTAGTTTCTGAACTGCTATCTGTGCATCCCTACCTAACACAGCAACTATGTACTATAAAAGTGTTTCTAAATACTTTCTATTGAACCTGGAGTATTAAGGAGCACACTAGGCTATTTTTGTTTTTAAATCTAGGACTGCACAAAAACCCTAAGAATTTACTATGCTTAAATATGGTCTCATTTACTGTCCTGTATGCTGCAATGTAGATACTTACCCAATTTTTCTTCTTCTTTTTTTTGGAATCAGCATCATTGACACTTCCAATGCTAGAATGACTTGCAGCACTGTTGACACTGGAGACACTTTCAGAGGAATGTTGTCTTTTGATTTTCATGTCTGCAGAGAAATATATACAACATTTTATGTTTTTAGCATACACATAACATTTGCTTGAAGCTAAGAGCAAAAGTTGTACAGAGCAGTAAGACTGGAAGAGAAAATGACACAGTTGTGATATTTTTAGTCCTTTCCTGATCAAAGGTATTCAAAGCCTACAGGTGAAACTCGAATAATTAGAATATCGTGCAAAAGTAATTGCAGTAAGTGCTGCAAAAGGGGCCCAAAACCAAGTACTGAGTACATATGCATGCTTGTACTTTTCAGGGGTCCGATATTGTTCTATGTACAATCCTTGTTTTATTGATTGCATGTAATAATCTACTTTTTTGAGGTTGTGGATTCGGGGTTCTTGGGGTTTTCATGAGCTGTAAGCCATAATCCTCACAATTATGACAAATCACGGCTTGAATTATCTTGCTTTGCATGTAATGAGTCTATCTCATATATTAGTTTCACCTTTTAAGTTGCATTAGTGAAATAAATTAACTTTGCACGATATTCTAATTATTCGAGTTTCACCTGTAGATGTCCTGGCTAATAATTTTTAAAACACTGCTTTAACCCCTTCATGACTGAGCTTGTTTTTAGTTTCTGTTCGTAAATGACTGACACACTTTTGACATTTTTGCTGTGTGATTCTTCCACGTCAGTAATATACTTTCTTACAAAGTGCACCCACACATATTATATATTGTTTTTTAGGTCTCGTTCACACCTAGGCATATTGCATATGCGCGACCGTCGCACGATTTTTTAACGTGATTCGCGGTAAAAAAGTTGCGCGACCGTCGCGCGTTTCCCGAAGGCTACTTGGCTGTATCCCAATGGAAACGCGCAACAAAAACAGCCCAAAATAGTACCTGTACCTTTTCAGGCGTGGGCCGTTTTGTAGCGCGTTAGGGACAGGCGGAAATACTCCAAGGTGGGAGCGAGACCATTGAATACCATGGGATTTATATTTTTTTGTAGAGCGTTCGCGGTATACTGAGCTTAGGGTAACGGGAGGACGCTAGTTTGTGTCCTCCCGTTACCCTAAGGAGAACTATGGGGAAAAACACTGACCCCATAGTTCTCCTTTAAGGCTGCTTCAAACTTCAGAACAGCCAATAATAAGTTAGTGACACTGATCCTACAGCAGTTCAGGATTCAGCTGTCACTAAAGGTTTTCTGATAGTTCCAACAACGATCAGAAAACTGAAACATTCTTCTTTCAGGAATAGATACATTATGTATCTATTCCTGAAAGTGAAAGAAAAAAAAGCCAGTATACGATCTGAGAGAGATATCTCTAGATCTATACGAGCTGTCAGAATGCCGGCTTTTGCCGGCATGTTTGCCCACTCTGCTTTGACTCTCAGACACCCGATATTAAGGTATCAGGTGTCTGAAAAAGGTTAACCCTTTCATTAATGGATGCCTCTATACTGAGGCATCCATTAATGAATGGTAACCGCTGATTCTCAGC